GTGCGCACCTGTAGTTCCAGCTCCTTGGAAGGCTGAGGCGGAAGGATCGCCGGATCCCAGCAGGTTGAGGCTGTGGTGGCTGGGAGCAGCCGCTGCTGCAATCCAGTCTGGGTGAGAGTGAGACTCCAACTCAAAAATAAAATAAAATAAAATAAAATAAAATAAGGCATGTGAGTGTTTTAGCAATTAATTGGAAAAATAAGAGGTGTGATCACATATACACTACTGTGAGTTGATGATGCAGTTTATACCAGTCATACACTATGTATTTTAGAATCTTTTCTTACTTTAGCCCTTGATGACCTGATTGTTGACATGATTCCTACACTGAACTCTTTGCAGTAGCTTTTCAATATCTCAATCTATGATCTTAAGAAGTTATAGTTTTTGTTGGTGGGAAGACTCATAAAGTGAGCTACAATTTTAAGAGTCTGTTTAATTGCCAGAGTTTAGTGATTCAGTGGACATCTGCTTTCCCTTTCTCTGAGAAGTGAATCCCTTTTCCCGTAGAAAACACATTCCACATAGTTTAGGTGATTTTCTTATCTCTTTCTTTTTCCTTTATCTCCCCTATCCCTTAACCAAGATTGGACATATGACTCACACTTGACCAATCAGAGTACTCCCATCCCTTTGGTCACACTGATTGACAGGGGTAGGCAATTGATCCCAGATAGGCCAGTTTGTGTTCTTCTATGGACTTTACTGCTCCTGCTATTGGAAAAGACTGTTTCAGTCTGCTAAGATTGCTCATCTGGCATGGGATTTAGGCTGCTGGCAGCCATCTGGCCACTAAAAGGAAAATGCTCATCCAATGAGAGAAGAAAAAGAAATGAAGTCCTGATGACATCGTTTTGAGACTTCTGACTCCAGCCTTGCCTAAAGCTTCAGACCCACTCAAGGACATTTTACTTCATGTTTATATTTAGATATGTAAATATTTGCTATAAACCAGCTTAAGCTAAGATCACTTTCAACCTAAGAGTTCTAACTCATGTAAGTAGTGAGCAATCTTCTGCATTTCAGGAATTCAGTCTCTCAGATTTTTTAGATTCACTAGAATAATCAATCAACTCTTTGCTTAGCATCTATATAATTCCCCAAATGGTCAAGTTTATTTACTATCAGGTACTATTCAACTTACCCATAGAGCCACAGAAACCTATTGACAGAGTTTTTTGCTGAGCAAGGTTAATTCTGGAGAGACAACATGGACACAGAAGGTAGTCAAATAAGGAAACCTCAAGGGAAAAACTGAAGCAAATCTCTTCCTCTTGAACTTTCCATTGTCTCCCACTACAGGCTCAGATCCTACTTGTCTTCTGTTGCTTTGAGGCATTTCTTGGGGATCAGTGAGGTAATATGTCCTCAGTCTCAGTCGTGAGAGATGGAAAAAGGAAGCTCCCAAGCTTCCACAAGATGCTCCTGCTCAATATCTTGGGCAGGATATTGACAAGAAGATCTGGATTTACGAAACTTAAATAGAAAAGCAAGCAGCCCAGCAACCTGATGAAAAATAGAGTGTTGAAAAAGAGACAGCAAAAAATCCTGAAAAGAGAAAGCCAAGAAACTGTTAGCCAGAGATTATGAGACTTGGAACAAAAAACTAAACCTGCCTGAATGCATGTCTGGTCCTTCTTGATATTCACGTTTCCCATAGATGAGCTTCTCCTTTGCTGACAACCCTTTATAAAGTCAGCCCCATTCCATGTTCTGGCCTGCTGGTTATTCTCTCTCCGTCACCATGTTTTATTTTCTTGGTAGCAGTGATCACTAAATTAATCTTGTTCTCTCTTTTTTTTTGCTTTATTTTTGTTTTTGTTTTGGTAAACTGTTTTCCAAAGTAGTTGCATCAGTCAGTTTATACCCCACCAGCAAGTCGGTTTCTGTGGATTCACATTCTCTCCAACACTTGATATTATCAGACTTTAAAAAAATTGCTGACGAAATCGGTGTAAAGTAATATCTCATTATGGTCTTTATTTGCATTTCTCTGATGAACAATGATGCTGAACATCTGTTTGTAGGTTTATTGGTCTTATGTGTTTTTTTTTCTTGTTCATTTATCTACGAGGTAGTTGAGGCTTTTCTTGTTGGTTTGTATGAGTTCTTTATATGTTCTTGGTATCAGTCCTTTGCCATTGTGTATATTGTATACATTCTCCAAACTTTGTAACTTTCACTTGCTCTAAGATGTTAAAGCACAAAAGTTCTTAATTTTGAATAAAGTCTAGTTCCTCAATCTTTAATTAGAATCAATGCTTTCTGTATCTTAGTTTAAAAAATATAATTCCCTACTCCAAGGTCTGAAAGATAACCATGTTTTCTATTAAAGTCTATGGTAATTTTAAAATTTGTTTACAAATTCTTTGTTTTTCCTCTTTCCAAGTGAGTCCCCTCAGGTCAGGCACAGTGGCTCATGCCTGTAATCCTAGCTCTTAGGGAGGCTGAGGCAAGAAGATTGCTTGAGCCCAGGAGTTTGAGATCAGCCTGGGCAACATAGTGAGACTTTGTCTCTACAAAGAAAAAAAAAATCAAGAAATTGGCTGGGTGTGGTGGTGCATGCCTGTAATCCTAGTTACTCGGGAGACTGAGGCCCAGGGAGAGATTATCTGAACCTAGGCGGTCAAGGCTGTGGTGAATGGTGATTGTGCTGTTGTTCTCTAGCCTGAGTGACAGAGTGAAATCTCAATAAGAGTGACAGAGAGAGAGGGGAGAGGGGAGAGGAGAGAGGGGAGAGGGGAGAGGGGAGAGAGAGAGGAGAGAGGAGAGAGAGAGAGAGAGAGAGATTGATTTCTCTCAGTTGAAGTGTGGGCTGTATTTAATAACTCACTTCTAAAGATTGGAATTTGGTAGAAGTCACAGTGCATGTCCTCCTAGATTACATCATAAATATATTGGAACTTTCTGCATACTCTTCGGAGGTAGCCACCAGTCATGTTGTGAGGATACTCCAGCAGCCCTATGGAAAGGTGTATGTGGTGAGGAGTTAAGACCTTTTGCCAGCTGCCAGAAAAAACTTGCCAGATGTGCAAGTAAGTTACCTTGGAAATAGAACCCCTAGCTTCAGTCAGGCCTCCTAATGACTGCAATTTTGGTTAACATCCTAACTGCAACCCCATGACAGAAACGGAGCTAGAACCTCTTAGCTAAGCAGATCAGGATGTCTGCTTCACAGAATCTGTGAGATAATAGATGTTTGCTGTTTGAGGCTCCTACATTTTGGGGTAATTTATTATGCAACAATAAATAAATAATATAGATTTCAAGATCTTAAATTTTCTTTTGACATTTACATCTTTAACACACTTGGCTTGCTTTTTGTATATACTGAGCCAATCTCTCTTTTTTTCACATATGAATAACCTTTTTTTCTCCCCTGCTGCTTTAATTGAACAATTCTTCCTTTCCCTATGACATGCAATGCTTTCATATCAAAGTTCTCCATGTGCACTGTTTCTGAGTGCTTTGTTCTCTTCCACTGGTCAATTTTCTTATTCCTATGCCAATACCACACTATTATAATTAATATGTCTTCATAGTTGGTACACATATCTGGGAGGACATGTTCTCACTCCCTGGCTGGTCTTTAAAATTGTCCAGGTTATTCTTGACCCTTTACTCTTCCATATACAGTATATTTTAGAATTATTTTATTTAATTTTATAAAAAAAAAACCTCTTAGTGAGATTGATTGGAATTGAATTGAATCGAATGATCTGGAGACAAATGGTATTTTTATGATGTAAAGTTTTCTATTCATGTTATATATGCAATTTCTTCCATTCATGTTATCGTTAGTATTTCCTAATAAGTTCATATAAACCTCCCTATAATGATTTTTTTTCTTTAACTGATGAGGTATTTAGGCCTTGTGGTTTCAGTATGACTTCCATGAGCAAACCTCCCCCATTTTCTTTTCTATATTACTCTTACCCAGCTGTCCTGGGCTCCCTCTGCTCCAGGACACATTCATTACTCACTTCTACTCATCAGTCAAAAACAGCCCCTTCCCCACCAGTTTTCCACTAGGGTTGATCTTGGTGACCAGAGCCAATATTCTTCTTAGTACGGCATCTTGGTCAGAATTAGAATCAGAAGTCTTTGACAAACCTCTTCCCACCACATTATTTATGAGAAGGTTCTAGTATTGCATTTCCAGGGAAAATCCTAGGAAGAGCCTTACTCTCTTGTTATAGAGTAGTGTCTGATGTACCAGTGTCCCACAAGATGTTAGGGTAGAACAAGAGGAAGGACATTTGAAGTTTGGCATAATGAGCTAGACTTGTAGGATATCTCTTGTCAGGTTCCATTCAGGATACCCTCTCTCTATAAGGCAGACAATACTCATTCTAGGAGTCTACACAGGCAATTCCATGCTGGGCACTGGTGTTAAAGTATAAGAGGGCAGCATAGGAGTCCTAGAGAAAATTCTGCCGGTTGTTTCAGGAATGCTGTATTTGTAGATACTGAAAACTGTAACACTATTTATTTGGTATGAAGATAAATCTGGTATTCTCCTTATGCAAATTTTGCTGACAATTGGATTTGACCTTTAAGCACCAATAATTTTGTGTTAACCATTTTATAGAACTCTCTCTAAATCATATTTCATACCACTTTGAATATATATTTCTTTATGCCTTCTTAAACAGATTCTATTGAACATAATCTGAACTTTTCTTGAAAATGTAGGGGCTTCATGATTACCAATTTTACTTTGCTATCACAGAGATTCCCTCAGGACTAATATCCACTCAGGTGTTTGAATCTTAAGTTCTCATTCAGTTTAACAAGTATTTTTGAGCAATTATTCCATGCTGAATTTTGTTAGGTGCTCTTTCTCACAATTCTTCTCTCTCTTCTACTTGCTGTTAGGCAGTAGTATACTTGTACCTAGCAGTCCTCTATTCACTTCTAATCTCCGGATGCTATTGGGAAACCAGGTACACTAAGCTAATTCAAATTGTTAAAGGGAAAAGTGAGTAACGTGAGATTTACCACATCCCTTTTATATAGCTTATCAGACTCTTATTTCTCATTACTGCTAGGCTGTTGACTTCTAATAAAGAAATAATAAAGAAAGTTTGATATTATTAATTGCCTTTAAATGAGTAAGTCAAAACATCAGAATTGAGAAATGTAGTCAATGACATTAGTTTGCTGACTCTACTGTGTGCATGATCATGTGTGTGCCTGTACAAGGCTCTTCTTTTCTAGACTTTTCTCTTTCCCAGGATGGCTAAGTAGAGCTAGTTTTCCAGAAAGTTTACTTGAAGATATTTTGCTTACCTTTTACGGAATGATATTCTCTTCTTTGGGACAGAATTGACCTGGGAGAGGAAGAAAGGACATTGATAAATAAGCAATGTCTGGAAACTCTCATCACCATCCAATAATATTCAGGGTGCCATTAGTTACAATGTTGTATTTAGATAACATTTTACAAATTATTATTATATGCATAAGCACATGTAATTTTCAAAGACAAAATTTTTTAATATATTTATTATTATTGTTACTTGTCTGACCTTTCTACATACTGTTATCAATAAACTAAGGTGAGAGAGGTGAAGTATGTTGTCCAAGGCCATATAGCTAGTAAGTGACAGGGTCAGGCCTAGAGCCTGGGTCCCTGAACTCCACATTCTTGGCTCTCTCTCAGCTATGCCATTCTACCTTCCACTTAGTCAGTGACCCTTAGAGAAGCTTACAAGCTATGAAAAGTGCACAAGCATATCTTAAGAGATATGTTTTAAAAGCTATGCAAATCGAAAGATAAGGATATGTCCTGGATTTCCGGGGCATCCCTATTTTGAATATTTTTTCAGTTATTTTATTATCCTTTTAACTTTCTTGTGAGATAAAAAGGAAGCGAATTTATCATCACATTTTGGGTTGTGGAAATGAAGCTCACAGAATTGGAGTTGAAAACTTTCAGGATTATCCATTTGGTCCTACAGTATGTATAAGATAAAGTGGCATGCCAGAAAGGCCACTGCTCAGGCAGCCTCTCAATAAAGTTGCTCAGATATCACTAGGTCACTGAACCATCATGGGATTCTGATGAACTTGATGAAGACTCAGATGAACCTGATGAAGACAATTCTATTTTGTTCTCTGATAGATGATTGGAAGGAATGCTTTGATGAGCTACTGGGATTGATGGTGGGACACAATGGAGATATTTAACTTAGTTCTAGAGAGGTGAGTTCAGTTAGTTTTGGGACGTTGTTTGTTGAGCAGAATATGCAAGCGTGGGGGCCAGAATAACTTGTTCAGGAAAATGGGAATTATGGACATGGTCTCACATGTGTCCAACATCTGGATGACCCCAGTACAATTGTCAATTGTTGATATTTGCTTTTAAGGAAGAACTGAATTCTCTTTTCTGAGGTTATTAAGACCATTTATCTCGACTACATATAATTTCTGGTAGTTGTCAATCTTGGTTTGAATGCCAATATAAATTACAAAATTTAAGTCCAACAGGAGTTTAACTTTTAACCCTAGATGTTTGCTACCACAAGACATCTAGCATAGCAGGCCAAGAGGACTGGTGCTCTATATTTAATTGTCCATCTCTGCCTGACCTTTGCATGTCTGTTGGTGACTTCATGATGTTAAATATGAACAGACATCGAAACTCCATCGTAAAGCAGCGATAGATTCCTATGTTTTAAATTGCAGGAAAACTCTGATTAGATAGGAACAGATGCCTGGTGCTCTGTGTTTTGAAAGATTTGGGACCATGTTGGGATCATCAGGAAAGAATACTGTGATTGTAGGATATAGGACAGATGGTGCATGTGCCATGCATCGGCCTCTTTTCTACAGAGCATACCCTCAATTAATGTGTCTGCTTGCTTCCATTCTGGATTCTGTTAGGTCTTAGGCTAGTTCTTAAAGAATCTGTCACTTATATCTGTAAGACAGGAAAGTGGGTTGTTCCGTAGCATCTTTTTATTTGTTTAGAGTTGAAATGCTTTGGAATTACAGTTGGTACTGTTCCTGGAAAATGCACATTGGAAGATTGGGTAGGTATTTAGTGGCTCATAGTATTTTGGAAACTTCTTTGAAAGACAATGACATTTAGAGAAGCAGAAGGAGTAGAGTATTTACCTCATTATTTTGACTGTAACACTCTTTTCCTACAGAGATCATGCTCAAGACTTTTGCCCTAAGAAGAAAATAAAAAAGACAGGAATTGAAAAAAGTGCACTTAAATATTCATACTATATGGTGGTTATTTAAAAATAGCTTTAGACCAGGTGTGATGGCTCATGCCTGTAATCCCAGAACTTTGGAGGCCAAGGCAGGAGGATCGCTTGAGCCCAGAAGTTCGAGACCAGCCAATGCAACATAGTGAGACCTTGACTTTACAAAAAAATAAAAAAATTAGTCCAACATGGTGGTATGCACTTGTAATCCCAGCTACTCAGGAGGCTGAGGCAGAAGGATTGTCTGAGCCCAGGAAATTGAGGCTGTGGTGAATAGTGAGTGATCTTGACACTGTACTTCAACCTGGGTGACAGAGTGAGATCCTGACTGACTGACTAACTAACTAACGACAACTTTATATTCTGAAGCCACACTGTCCGATATTATAGCTATGGGCTACCGTGGCTATTTAGTTTTTAGTTAATTAAAATAACAATTTAGTTCCTCAGTCACAGCAGTCATCTTTTATATACTCAATAGTCACATGTAGTTAATGATTACCTTACTGAATAGCACAGAAAATTCTATAGGGCAAACCTGTTCTAAAATCTTAACTCAATAGTCAAGCCATAAACCACTGCTCAGCAGAGGTCTTGAGTGTCTTGAAGGTGTCCTTTAGAAGCAAGGACCTACAAGTCCTAGAACCACAGTTTGTACTTAGCTTTTTTAGAGGCTATTTGCGGTTTTGGCGGTTTTGGTTTCTCGTTCTTGATCCCAAGATTCTAAAATATTTAATAAATAGAAATGCCTCTAAACTGAGTTAAGATTTAACATACAAAGAAGGCCAAGAAGTGGAGGTGAGGTTTTTGGTTTTGGTTCTCACCCTTTAGACTTTTTATAATCTCCGAATATTTTGGAAGTTACTTTTATTTATCATTTCTAATTTGTTATTTATTCATCATTTCTAATTTTAAATGTTCATAGTTCAATACAGTGTACAGTTCTGAGTTTTATAATGTGGCAGCTGTAGTGTGCACTTAAAGATTAGTTTTGAGCCTATCCCACATGGCTGATTTTCCATATATTTGGGGAAGTAAGGATGGTATTAGTTTTAAGGCTTTTCTATGAAATATAAGAAATACTCGACTTATCATCAAGGTGCCTGACCACGAATCCTTTTTAAAGTACATGATTCTACTCTTAATATTAACCAAAATAATAGTATGATAATGTGATAAAATTATAGAGTTGTGTTTCTGCAGTCTTTTATAAAGGATGAGAGAACAACTGGAACCTTAAGACGGTGTGACCTAGCAGGGGTCAACCAGATCACAGAAGGAAAAGATATATGGCGTTGGGACTCATTCAGATCCAGATAGAAACTGGTGTGAGCCCTATTTGCTTTGATCCAGGCTGAGATAGAGTTACCACGAAAACCAGGATATTCCTTGGCCAAAGCTCACACTTCTCTCTCAAGGAACTGAGTCTCTACTTCTTCTTCTGTTTTCTTCAAAGTTTCCTGGTACCTCTTCAAAGAGAAATAAAGCCACAGTCACTTCTTCAAAGCTTTACAATTTCACTTAGCATAACAAACACTTATTACTACGTTGTATCATGAACGTGTGGTATTCCCACTGTCACTTTGTCTGCTTTCATAGACCCTATCCTATCACTGCTCCTGATCTCTTACTGTGTCGCACCATTGGGTAGGCTCCTTGGCATAACTGGGATTATAAATAGCAGACATGTGCATTATTAATTTAAGAGCACAGAGGCTGAAAGACCAGGGCAGTAACTACCAGGGAGTCAAGGCAGTGGGGTGCTGATGACCAAGTCTGTTGGTAGTACTATCTTGAAGAATGAAACCTGTCCTAGATAGTTTTCTTTGAAAGCCTGGTTTCATTTCACCCTGTACCTTAACAAACTCTTTGCTATCCCATTACCAATAAACTGTACCCTTATGCAGAAGACTTGATTATCACAGAGCTGGGCCACAAATGCATGGTTCTTCATCACCTGAGAAATCAAAATTCAACTGTAAATTTCTTTCACTAAATTGCTATAAGAAAACAAGTAAGAACCAAGTTTTCTCCTGTGTCCCAGATCCCAAATGTAATTTTCTAATTGTTTTAAAAAATGTTTTGCAGTATGATGAATTTATTTCCTTTTTTTGAGGATAAATGAGCCAATTGAGTATAGTCTAAATGGAAACTATTTGGGGGGCAATTGGGAGAGGAATGAATACCAGAATGTGAAAGATGACTATAGAATGTATTCTGTAAAATACATTAAAGAGAGGGTAACATAGGGAACTGGATTCATTTTCCTTTTCTTTATCTCCTTCTAAGCCCCATCATGATCCTTAAACTGAAGCCTTATATGTCAGTCATTTGAGGAATGTCTTAGATTATCTGACTGAGGACCAAATTTCCCTTTCTTGGGGAGAAATAACATTGAAGTTCCTACCATTACCTTGACCAGTTCCTTCTCTTGGTCTGCACAGGAAGCTTCCAGTTGTTGTAAATTAACCTAAGGAAAGCAAAGGAGACTGGTAACTTAGTATGGTGGAAGCTGCACAGGCATGAAATGCTGTCCCCAGGATAGTTGCACAGGCTTTTGAAGAAAATCAGAAAAACCATTTCACATGTCTTTTTGGTGAAAGAATTAAACAATCCAGTGCCCTTTGCAACTGCTTGGTGAGCCTGTTCTTTTATACTTCCTACTTTTTCAGTGTTCATTCGATACTACCTTTACCCCTAAACTTCAATTTTTAGCTTCCTTCATTTTCTTAGCTATTTTCTTAGAAATAACACTAGCCTTTAAAAAAATTTCTCTTCTTTTTAAATAGTCAGAATCTAAGGCGTTTGTTCACCTCTTTGTCCCTCCCTATATTCATTCTTCCCTCTTCCATTTCCGTAAATACTTGCCAGAAGACCATTCTGTATTGGCCACTATGCTGGAGTGAAGTGGAGAGGTAGCACTGAGGATACAGTGCAAACAGGATCAACAGGCCCTCTACCCTCACAGAGCTGATATTCTAGCTGGAGGACATGACAAACATGTTAGTGTGAAAATGGCATGTGTAATAAAGAAAATAAAAATAGGTTAATGTGATGTGAAACAGTGATGGTGGTGGTGATGTGAGTTTGGTGCGAGAGGCGGTGATAGGTAGTTGACAAAGGCCTCTCTGACAAGAACTGAAGTCTAAATGATAAATACTAGCCAAATGGAGATCCAAAAGAAATGTATTCCATGGGGAGGTACAGCAAGGGTCAAGATCATAAAGGAGCACAAATTGGGTATGTGTGAAGAGTTTGTATAGCTGGAGCATAAGAGATCTGGTAGGAAGAATGTAAGGTGGGAAAAGGTTGACAGGTACTAGATTGTAGGGCCTTGTGGCTTCTAGAAGACATTTGGTTCTTTATTCTAGTTGCAGTGAGAAGCTAGGAAATGGCTTGAAGTGCTAAGACACAATCTAATTTATGCTTCTAGAGAACAGTTTCTTCTGTGTCTGAAAAATGGATTATTTGGAAGTAATAGTTGAAGTAAGGTGACTACTTAAGAGGCTACTCTAGTTTAAGTAAAAGATTATGGTGGCTTACAAAAGGGTAATAGTAATAGTAGTGGTAGATAGAGAGGAATGAAATGCATTTGGGGTATATTTTGGAGGTAGAGCAGATATAACTATTCTTCCTTCCCTTTGCAGCTCTGTGATTCCCACCTTCATTTAGGAGCCATTATTTCACACCTGGACTCTTCTAACAGTTGCTCCCCCCTCCAGTCAATCACATCCAGGACCAGTCAGCCAAAAATGTGAAGGGCTATAGTTTAACCCAATGGTGTGAGTCACAGGGGGTTGAAACAGTCATCTGTTGAGCCACTGAACTTATTGCTAGCATGCCAGAGGAACAGAAGCAAAAGAGATGCTGTATATAGAATTAGGGATATCACCTCAGAATTAGACAAAAGAGTGGAGCAAAAGAGTGTGACTCAAAGGGATAAGACTTTGATGGCTGCCAGCAAAATAATAACCATTATTCTGACAAACACTGGGACTTGATTACCTGTCATAGGTAGCACAACCAGACTTAAAGTGTCACCACTTGATTCTGGCTGGACTTACCTTCTGGGAAAAAGAAGGGATCTTGGAAAAAATTCAGTCTTTTGAACACAGCAATCATACGGCCAATGTAGCCAGGGGTCTTCAAAAACTTTTCTAGTCTTAAATCTAATTTCTTTCTGATATACGAGGAGGGACTCATAAAAAAAAACCGGAATCTATTTTTTAAAAAGATTGCGTATTTATTCTTACATGTCTAAACTTCAGTCACCTTCAAAGTACTCTCCATTTGATGCAATACACCTATTGAGTCACTTTTTCCACAGTTCAAAACAGTTTTCAACTTATCAGTTTGGGTGCCTTTTAATGCTTCTGAGTTTTTTTGTCTCACTTTTTCCACATCAGCAAAACGTTTCCCTTTGAGGACTTTTTTTGCCCAGGGAATTTTTTAAAAAGTCACTTGGGGCAGTATTGGGTGAATAAAGAGAGTAGGGCATGGGGGTCATGCTGTTTTCAGTCAAAAACTGCTGAACACTCAGCATGATGAGGACAGGTTTTTCATGTAAATCTCCCATCATGAAATGGGCAAACGCATTGAAAAAATCTCAAAAAAAAAAAAAAAAAAAAAAGAAAACGCAAAAGAAAAATTCGCTGAAGCCAAACACAGCTTCTCACAACAACACACAACAATATTAGCTAGTACACTGATGTTGGTTGGTTCCTAGAATACTTATTTAGTGGGAGAAGCCTATACTAGAAGGGGCCTGCCCTCCGAAAGATAATTCTGTTTTTGAGGGGCACCCCCTCATATGCTCAGGGTTCTTGCCTCTTTCCAAATAACTTTCTTGAGTAAATACAGCCAAGCAAGTTTACTTGGTAACTTTTTGTTGGTGATGGTTTCTGTGGCCACCAACACTAAATTGGCCAGCAGAAGATAGAGGAGTCATTCTCTATACTTTCATTTTCTATTTCTACTTTCAATTTAAGCATATCTCCAGAAGCTCCATACATACAACAAAGATGATAAAGAGAAGTTAGATCTAACAAGGAGAAAATGTCAAGAAAAATATTTATCTGGTTTCTGAATTTTTTAAAGTCTCGATTATTATTATTATTTTTAGCTCAGATAAGTTGTGTTTGGCCCCAGCTTCTTAATCCTGGTACATAATTAGAAAAATGCCAAGTAATGTATGATGTACTTAACAGATAGTGGTCTTTAAAAATTTTGACTAATTGAATAAATCCTTTTCTTTATTGGAATCAATGACAAGGCACATACATGGCCTAATATTCAGTAGACTTACAAATCCTAGTTCTGCCTCTATGAATTCTGAAGTATACCTTAGCAAGACTTTTAAACACTAATCTAAATGAGATTTTTTTTTTGAAGTTCCAGTCATTCAAAAAAGGCAATGACATTTAATATATACAATCTTATTTAATCTTCAAATTGAGGTTAAAAGGGAGTGATTAAGTCACCCAACTTTACACACCAAATTGAGTGCTGGGGCCAGAATTTCAACTAGGGACTTTAGTACCTCAAATGTTATATGTATGCATCTGTGCCCTGCTCTTCCTAATAGAAGAGGGAACAAAAAAATATGGCTTTAGAGTCACAGTTCTTACCGAGGACCCAGTAGAATTCAGAACTCAATGGCTCAGGTTTAAGACTGAGAGGGGCAAAAACTACCAAGAATTTATTTAGACTTTGACAATTGTTTCCACCTTAACAGCTTGTTTTCTGGTCACATAGTTCACATTCAGGATTGCTTCCTCATTTACCTTTGACTCTTCTGGAGCTTCATCTGGATTGCTTTGTTCATACTTGGTTATCTTTTGTGAATTCTTTGTAAGCTATAGTATCAAATAAAAAATACATTTCAAATAAAAATACATTAAATTAAAAACTATAGAAGGCAAAGACATTCTCTGATGTGTGGGGATCAGTAACTATGGCTTGATAAAAGCTGCCAGGAGATGGCCCCTTGGTCGATATGTGCCCTGCGGAGACATCTTTGTTTTATCTCCATCTTCTTCTCGCTAATCTTGGCCACCAATGCTAGAGTCCACTCAAGGCAGGGGTACTTCCCTCGGTTCCTAATTTATGCTGAATTACTCAGGGATATAGGCCTGGGTCAGAGAGTAAGGTAATCATAGGAAATACATTGTATTCTGAGGAGGTGATGAAGTATAGAAAAGGCCTAGAGAAGCCGGGCTCAGTGACTCAGCCTGTAGTCCCATGCTTTGGGAGCCTGAGGTAAGTGGATTGCCTGAGCTCGTGGGTTTGAGACTCGCCTAGGCAACTTGGCAAAACCTCATCTCTACAGTAAATCAAAAAATTAGCCGGGCATGGTAGCACACGCCTGTAGTTCCAGCTACTCGGAAGGCTGAGGCGGAAGGATCGCCGGAGCCCAGCAGGTCGAGACTGTGGTGGCCGGGAGCAGCCACTGCACTCCAGTCTGGGTGACAGAGTGAGACTCCAACTCAAAAAAAAAAGGCCTAGACAATGAAAAGGGAATTGGACGTTGAGTTAGTTTTTTTAAAATTTGTGTTCTTGTTTTAAAAATCTCTGTGGAAAGTAAAATTAACCTTTCACCACAAAGGTCCCAGTCAACAGAGTGTGTGTTGGAATCCACTTTCTTGTGATAGAATGACAAGTCATGAGACCACTCCTTTTACCTTCATGCTTGCAGAGGAAATTCATGGCATTTGAGTCATGAGCCTTAGTCTCAGGAGAGTGAATCAGGGAGTAGTACACTCTCCAAGCACAGGCCTCCTTGACATGTGGGTTCCTCTGTAATTACTTTACCCTCCCTTGCCTCTTTGATGAATGGGGTTGGCTGCTGTGGGGGCACTGAAGAACGCAAGAGCCCCACCCCACCTTTCTTTGAAGTTCTGTTATACTGTGGGCCAGCATCTCCTTTCTCCTTTCCTGTAGTGAAAATGAAGCAGAGTGTTAAGTCTGCATCTGTACACCATCAACTATTGATTGTTGTCCATTTCATTCAAGCAACATTTTCCTGCAGTAACTCCACCTTACTTGAATAATGTTATGTATGTATTGAGATCAAACCATCTTAGGGACTTCCCAATATTAAATATTACCAAAGAAGCCCTGTCCTTCACACATCCTCTTCCATGCATGAACACATTCTATCATGACTTTTGAGGTGACTATTTTTGTGCATGAAAAGGAGAGACTGCCATTGTTTTTGTTAAGCACTGGCTAGGTCATGTGTTCATTGGGCTATGGCTGCTGTGTTTTCCTAAGCTTTGGCCCTCTCCCCTACCTTGGGGAGGGGAATCTCCTCTCTCTCTCTCTCTCTCTCTCTCTCTCTCTCTCTCTCTCTCTCTCTCTTTCTCTCTCTCTTAGTTTCTAAATAAAGTATATTTTCCAATCTAAAAAAAAAAAAAGGAGAGACTAGCTTATCTGACAGTTGACGGGGGGGGGGGGGGTGGACAGAATGAGGAATGCGACCTATTAAATGACTCTTCACAGTTTCTGCTTACATGTCTGGCTGTTTCTTCCTTCACCTCCTGCAAAGCTCCTTCCCTTTCTATTGTGATACAGTTCTCATTCTCCCACTCATCGCCTTCCACCAGGTCTCCAATCTGAGTGATCTCACTTTCCAGCCTGGATAACACAAGAATACACTGTGAAGACCCATGCTTGTCAGTTTCAGAACTGATAAAACACAGTATCAGTTGCAAGGGTGCTTCAGTGACAATGTACATGAATCTCAAGCTAGAAACACTTCCTTACTGAATCCATAGAATTGGAGTCATTTCAAAGTCATGGAGAAGACCTGCCTGATTCCTAAGTCAGACACCTCAATATTTTTTCTCAACTCTTTTAGAAGCCGGTTTGAAACTTGCTATGTTTCAGTGTTCAAGCTGCAAAGAAATACCACAAAGACTGAAGAAGGAGCTTTTTGCTACACAAGATAGAGATTTCTAGAGCAGACAGGAGAAATTCAGTTTTGTCTCTTCTCTTCCACCCCTTCCTTTGGATTGGGAACTTCTCTCACTAAACACTAATACTCACCTCTGAATCTCATTTTCTTTCTCTTGGATTTTGAGAAGAAGTTCCTGATCTGCTTCATCGATTCTCTGCACATCCCTTTCAAGGTCCGTGTTCAAACTAATATTGTTTTTCTTTGACAGCGTCAATCTTGAGATTTCCATTTTCTCTGACCTGTAGACATAGCCCCCAAAATGAACAAGGGCCAGTTATTTCAAGATAAAAAATTACTGGACCGGGCAACCCTCTTGGGTTCCCTCCCACTGTGGGAGCTTTTCTGTCCTCTCAATAAATCTTGCTTTCTAAAAAAAAAAAAAAGGTACTGGGCCACAGGAGATATCTAGAAGACACATAGTTCATTAACCTTGCCCTTTTGGGGGGCATACCCTTACCTTCTCATTCTTGAAAAATTATATTTCTTAATCATGACCCACAATTGTTTCAATAATTCTCAATTCAGTCAGCCAGGGAGGTCTTTCCCAGATTTTCTCCTCCAAAGTGCTTAATAGTGCACTTCCGCTCTGATTTCATGAGAAGCTTTGCTTCCTTAAATAGTGCCTTGCATTAGAAAGAATTGTCTCTCTTAGATAAATTGTTCATAAAACGTGCTCATGCAGTACACTTTTATTGAATACTTTTATTTAGGCACATGGCACATAGCTTCTGGTTTTAGGCAGAGTCACAAGAGGTTTCTGCAAGCACAAAAGGGCTTCAATCTTCATCTCCTTCTTCCCACCTCAACACTTCTCCTCCACTTACCTGCTACAGAGTTTGGGATTCTACCATGAAAGTCATACCACTGAGAACACATAGATATGCTCCTGGTATAGCTTTCAAGAGTGCAAACAACTTTTTAGAAGTAAATTTGATTGAAATAATGGTATAGAGTTGTCTGGAGAGGGTCCAGGGAGGAACTCCTTATATTTTTTTCTTGAATGTAAATTAATGTATTGGTTTTTCCTTGAATTAACCAGGAATAGGGTAGTGAGGCACAGGGACTTCTGTTTTGGATAGGAGTGAAGGATTATATTGGGGGGAAAAGTCCTACCTTGGAAGGGCTGGCTTGAATATTTATAATATTTGGACATTTGTAATAGTTATCACTTCAGGAGGTTATGGAGCACTTTCTAGGGTGTGGAGGTAGGTGAATGAATGGGAGTAGAAAGGGAGGTGAAGACTGTAAGATGAGGGAAGTGTCAATAGTAGATCAGCTTCACACCTTGATCCCAGGATTTGGCATTGCATAATCATGCCTACTTACTCACAATCTAGCTGATCTTCCTTGCGTTCTTCCATTGTAGAGTCCTAAAATGCCAGCAGAGATGTTTCTACTCAACATAGAGTAACTAACCAAGCATCCCTCAAAATTGAAACCAAATTGTTTTCCTCCCTCCAATCCCCTCATTTTAGCCATGACCAAAACTCAGTCCTCTGATTCTTTTTCCCTTGATCTGTTATGTCTTAGTAAGAATACAGTTAGGATACAGGAAAAATGCTGGAAAACACAATATATGTTCTCTTAGCAGATATAGTAGAGATGGTTTACCACCACAAAATCTTTTGGAAATTTATACAAGACAAGAGGAAGAAATAGAGATCATCGATTCTTAAGTCTCCTTTTGCTCTAGGCCCCATGGCATGGTTGTAGGTTCATAACTGCCGTGCTAATCTCTGTTCTCTAGGTTGGTCTTTGCAAAAATCTCCCTGTATTAAGATCTTTAGTATTGAAGAGAGCTCAGAAAACCAAGCAGAAGTAAATTATTGGGCTCTCTATTCTCCTTAGTTTCCTTTTCCCCCCATTTCTTTTATAAACTCTACCTTCCTTCTGATGTGTCCTGTCTTCCTGATCCTGCCCTAGTCAATTAGCTTCTGAAGAATCTGATCTTTCTCCTCTGGAATCATCCAACAGAATCTCAGAACCTTCTGAGATGTCATGAATCTGCTTGAGATAGGATGGGTGGGGCAGTATGTCACAGTGGCTGGGGAGTGACACTGGTTTCTCATCATTTGTGGAGAGTTCAGAGACTAGATGGGTGCATGGGTTTCATGGCCGAGTCTGCCCTAAGTGACGTAGGTTCAATGAATCTGACTTCTGGGAGGTTTGAAGGAGCAACCTTTATCTTTTATTTCTCTACCAGACAGTGCTTCCTTCCTACCCAAGTGTAACTAAAGTAGGAATTCTGGGTCCTGTGACCAGCAGTCTGATTTCACCAAGCAACCAACTAACTACTACTACTCATTCACTAACAAACATTCAGTCACTGAAAGAGCACCTATACTTTTCAGGATCTCTTCTTAGCAGTGGAAAAAATGAGTGAATAAAACAGACAAAAACATTCACTCTCATGGAATTTATATTCTAAAGTGTGTGTGTGTGCCAACACAATCAAAATAAGTAAATATATTTCATTTGATATAAGAGAGGAGAAAGCTAAGAGTTAAAGACACCAATGACTAACAGAAATTCTTCTTGCAGGATGGCAGAGAAGAAAAAGAAAAAACCTTCGACCTTGCCAGTCATCTCGGAACATATCTCTCCTGCAAAAAAAAAAAAAAAAGAAAAGAAAAAGAAAAAAAGAGCTGAAACTGATTGTAAAACTAGGTCCCTCTGCTTGTGAGATTTTTAAAAAATCTGGCTGAAATTGGTTGGAACCAACATGACCAACTGGAATCTGTGCAGAATGAGCTTGCTGATGTCACAGCCCAAATTTCTACTTCATGTTTTACACGAACTCCCCCCAAATTTGCACATGTAATCCATCAGGAGGTTTAAAGAGAGAGAGAGAGATCTGCACACATTCAAGGACTTTTCAGACCTCTCTTTTTTCATCACCTGCTACTCTCAGAGTCCACGCCCTAAACCTTTTCTAATAAAAGTACTACTGCCTTAAATAGCCAGCACAGGGAGACAGATTTGAGCTGGACTCCTGTCTCCTTGTTAGTCAATTTGCAATACGAAGCTTTTCTTTACTCAAATCCTGGTGTTGTAGTATTAGCTTCTAGCACATGGGGCAGTGAGCACCTTTGGCTCAGTAACATTGCTGTGGAGAAACATAAACAGGTGAAGGAGCGAGGGCAAATGCTGTGTGTATATATGTGTGTGGGGGTAGGGTTGGAAGAGGTTGCTGCAGCTTTAAATTGGGTGGTGCAGAGAAAGCTGCTGAGCATTCTCAGACCTGGAAGTGGGGTGCAGATGTAGAGAGAAGCCTGGTGGACAAGAGAAGACTTCGGGTTGTGCTGAAGAGGACAGAGACCAGCAGATCTGGGAGTACCAAGAGGAGGCATGAAGACCCGGAGCTTTCACCTCATGGATACACAGATTTTCTTTGTACCTGCCACCATGCTGGAATAGAGGGGAGCTCAGGAGAGGAAGGATCTCCCTAAAAGACTGAGAAATTACCCAAAGGAAATTTTTAAATTGGAAAAGTCTGTGATATTTCAAATTGGCTCCATTGAGTCTTTCCTGACAACTTTAGGAATAAGACCTGAAGGGGAAGATAAGGTCAGTTGCAGAAACTGAGGAATATATTTCTGCTTACCTGAGTGTGTGTGTACATTTTGACTGGATTCTGCACTATTTGTAACCTTTTATGTGTGCAAGTCACGGAAACTTGTAAAGTTTCGGATCTCTACTTAAAGAAGGACTGCACTGAGTTGATTTGTGAGCCAGAGTGACTTTTTAACATACTGTAGTTTCTAACAAACTATTTGTAAAATTAATGGCCTCTGATGACCCCCATTACCATCTCCCTTCTTCCTGAAAGAAGGCATTTCATTGCTTTATGAAGCTGTACACAGAAGAGTAATTAAGTAACAATTCAGGCCAATGGCCTCTCCCAGGAATTAATGGTAGGGAGAGTTCATTAACCCCAGCTGGTTATAGCTTCTGCAGGAAATACCCTGGACCAAGGTTATCGGAGCTGTTAATGGATTGGACAGGGACTTTAACTGGGATAAAAATAAAGCTTGATCTCCTTCCTGGGGAGCTTTTCTCCTTGAGGGGCTACCAAAGGCAAGCTGGTATGAGTAGCAAGAACCCCAAGCTTGGGGCCTTGTGTGGGATGAGGGCAACAGATTGCTATCACTGGGGATTGTTAAATCAGGCTAAAAAAAGGGCCTTGGGGGCAAATTAAGGTCTTTGATATAAGCCTTCCTGCTATTCCAGAGATGGCTTGATTAACACCCAGAGCAGCTTTAGAGCAGCTGTTTTCGCCTTGTTAACTTTTCTGTGCCATGCCTTACCCTGTGCAGAAGTGTCGTTGAGAGACATTTTACGGTTTGCTCTGCGGCTGCCTTTGTGTGAAAGTCTGTTGCAAAAACATCTGCTCTGTTTCCTGGCTGGGCATTCAGGCTCTATTTGCTGAACCTTTGCCCTTTTGGTGCTTAGGGACTTGCCAGGTACTTGAGCCCTGAGTGGAAGCTGCCCAGGCTCTGGCCCTTCTGGCTGCCTCAGAGGGATGGAGAGATTTGTCTTCTGCTCACCTGGCTTATCCTCACTTCAAACCCTGGCAAATTCTTCTCAGATATTTTTATAAGTGAGCCTGGTTTTAAGAACCACAACTAGGCAAGGCTCTAGAAACTTTCAGGTCATTGTTCTTTGAATACAGACTCAAACATGCTATTTTCCTTACATCCTTTCTTATTTTTAGTGACTATTTCCATACAAACTTTAGGCTCATGAAATCTCTTTAAATTTCCCTTCAGAATACTTCTCTCTTCACTTTCTTGGAAGCAGAAACTTGAATGAAAGTGAAATATGAGACAGAGAGAGAAAAAGAGAGAGAGACACAGGGGAGGGAGAATATACCCAGGTTTTTGTTCTTGTTTTTGCTTAATCATATACAAGTCAAAAGTTGCTTTTAAGAAAATCTAATATCCAGTGAACTATGTAGTTTGAATTGGCACAAAGTATATGTATAGTTTTAATTAAATGTTTCAAAATTTATTGTATCAATGCTATTATAACAACAAAAAAGAACTAAAATACCAAAGTTCACCAAGGGTCTCAAATTACAGAGAAACAATGTATTTTTCCAAGTTTTCTTCTATTATTTATCTATTAACGACTCATCTTATATAGTTATCATAGAATTGATATGTTGTTGTGTTTTTCCTTTTCAATTAATATTTTTGTAAATATTTCCCCAGGTTGCTACATAATCTCTATAATTATCAATTCAATCACTATAAGAATTTCTGCTGAGTTGACAATATTCCTAATTAACTGGCCATAACTTTAATTACCATACTACTTACCTGTTTATGTATTGTCTCCCCTACTAGACTTCAAGATTTTGAGGGCCAGGAGAGTGCCTGCATTAGTTTAGCTGGGCTGCCATAACAAAGCACTACAGAGTGGATGGCTTAAAAAACAGCCATTTCTTTCTTCACAGTTCTGGAGGTTGGAAGTCTAAGGTCAAGGTGTTAGCCGGGATGGTTTCTTCTAAAGCCTCTCCTTGACTTGCAATGGCTTTTTCTAGTGTCCTCATGTAGTCACACCTCTGTGAATGTCAGTGCCCTTCTTACAAGGACACCAGTCATATTGGATTAGGACCCATTCGAATGTCCTCATTAAAGGCTCCATCTCCAAATACAGTTACATTCTAAGGTACAGGGGTTTAGGATTTCAATATATGGATTTTGGGAGACACAATTCAGCCCATGATGGTGCTGAAATCTTTTAATCCTCATGGCATACATGAAGCACACAATGAACATTTAGCTTTGGCTGAATTTATAAACATTCAGGATGTTTCTCACTCCCCTGATATAAAAGCACTTCAAAGATTATATTTGTATAAGCATTTTCAATATAAACAAAACTGTCAAAAAATATACAATTATATTTTTACCATATACTCAAAATGAAAATGAAAAGGAAAATAACGAGAGAATAAACGTCTTGCTGAGATTAAAAACAAGATTTAAAAATTTCTCATACAAATGACTACACCCCTGAACATTTTCTTTTTCATTCTTCTGTGAACCTGGAAAAATATAGCAAGAAAAAGGAATCTCCTCAGTTATAGTATGGAGATGGCATTTCAGAGCAGTTATTCAGTGTCCCCTTCATATTAGTGACATAATTTTTTGTTTTCAATCAAGCCACTTTTTCTGGGGCAACCGATGTTTGGTCTCTGCTTTAATAGTCCTTTGTTTTACTTTAAATTTGCTTCTCTAGCTTTACTTTTTAAAATTTGCAATTAGAAAGTGATCATTAAATGGAAGATTCCTAAAAAAAGATTAACTGGAGCTTTTGCATGCAAACCTCTATAAAAAAATTTGGACTGAATTCTGATGCAACTTTATATTCTTCTCAAGTCTTCTAACTCTGTGTTCTCTTTGCCTTGTTATTTGGGAATCACAATCATTTACATTTTCTTACCAGCCCCATTTGATAATTGTAGAGAAGTCCTGCATACATTGAGATTTTGGGGAGTCTTTTGTTTAACCAAAGTAATATTCTGCTGAGCTATTCATGCTGTCAATGACATCATTAGCATAGCTTTGACTATATACCTATCAATCTTCATTTAGTCAACATTTTTTCGAGTGCCCAGTATGCACTGATCCAGATAATGGGATGATCCATAGAAGACTAGAGTACTCAGTTTCATGAGGGAGTTAGACATGTACATAGTCATGACTCTACAATGTGATAAATGTTACAGTGGAGGCAGGTAGAAAGTACTTTGGAATACAGAGGAGGAACATCCATCTTTAAGTGATTTAGAGAAGCTTCAATGCGGAGGTAACTTTGGGTTGAGTTAATCTTAAAGAAAGGAAATAACTTTAGCAGATAACAGGGAGGACACTTTATGAGAAAGAAAACAACAGGTTCAAAGGCACAGTATGCTTAGTGAACAATAAACAATTCACTGTATTTTTGTCTAC